TGCCCTTTAGTAAATGAGAAGTCAAATTGATTGACAAATTATAAAATATTTAGTATCTTCATACCCCTAATATGACGAAATTATGAGTAGAAGATGATAAATGCCAGTCTTTTAGATGCATCCTCACCATAGTTACCGATAGGAAAGAGCCAGGCTTAACTAAAATTACTTGTTTGACCATATTTGCAATAAAAGTATGTGTTGGATGTGGTGATTCTCGGGTCTTTGAACCTAATAATACTCTCTTACTCCTTAATTCATAATGAAGAATAGGTTCTGGCAGACTCAAAACTGGGCATTGGATTGAGATCAACGTTGAGATACGTGGCTTTGTTGGCTACTGGGACAAAAACAAGTAATCATATGACTTTAATTTTGTAAATGGATTTATTTATTTGCACCTCCGTCAAGAAATTGCGAGACTAGACCTCATCATTGGAGTTCTAGACAGTTTGCATTGCTGGACATCTCAATTTGTCTGACTACACTCCTCCACAATGGAAAAAATGAAGGTTGGAAGTTTTTGAATTCGGAATGTTTGAGGCCCTGGTAGCAATGATTTCCTAAGAGCCAAGCTGATGATATGTTGTAATGAACCCCCAAAATGAATAGTTTTGATAAGTAGTTCAATGGGAGCATGTCTATTTTATACATCTAATATTGTTTACATGGATAAAAAATAAGCCTCCAAAGCCAAGATTAGCACATGAAACGGTGGAGAGCAACTTTTTGCATTAATACAAATATCAGCATGAGCTTTAACAGAAAGAATGCGAAAATGAGTAAATTAAAGCAGATACTAAGCCCAGCCCTTCAGACTCCAAGAAGTAAATGACTTGTATATATATATATATATATAAATATATATATATATATCCATATATACATATACTGAAGCAATGTTTTAGGAAAAATTGGCAATTGTTAATTCGTAGACATGCAATTATGAAGGGGAAGATTTCCTCTTTTTGATACAATAGGAATTCTTGTACAATGGACTCATATTATTTTCTTTTATGTACAAAAGCCAGTCTCAATTTGTCGCTCCAGGGAATAATTGGGATTTTCAGAGTACAGTTCGTAAAACTGCGATAAGAGCAGAAATGAAGGGGCTCTTCGGTCATATGCAGCAAGGCCTATGTCCATTCGAACGAGAGCACATATATACAAAAGCATCGAGAACATGTGTACCGCTTGAGAGCATGCCTCGTCCCCTAAAGCATGGGTCTAGAGGACTAGCAAATGGCTGACTGTGTATGGATTCACCCTGCAGCCTCGGCTCACACTTGGGGCTCGCGACGCATCAACTATGTGTGCATGTGTGCGTACACATATGTTTGAACGCCTGTATGGGGATGTGCGTGTATGTGTGCACAAAGGTGTGTATGTTTCAATTGAGAGATATAGTCGCTTCTATTGAAAGAGTGCATTGGTGGGAATTCACTCCTCCTCATGGGCACATGCGGAGACGTGTATGCGAGAAAATTGTCATAGATATGCACACATACACTGTATGTGTGGGTACATGTTTAATACATTGATTTAATCCGGCCGGTTAGCTATTTATTGTGACATATGATTATGGATTAGTTGAGGCATTCCACATTTTGGTAATGTTTATGTGGGCACATGGGCATAGTTGCTTGGCCATCCTAAAAGAAAGGGTAACATCGGAGCGGTTGTCATCCGATTGAAAGGTCCGTATGAGGACATGTCCCCCAGCAACTGCTCGCATACAGAAGGACCAGTTCTCCGGAAGACCTCCTCCATGCTCATGAAAGATCCGTATTATTGTCTGAGAGTGAAGAAGAGCAATCTGTCCGCGATTCGACAGTTTAGCTGCTTGTGCCTTTGTGGTACCGGTCATGTCTTGCCGTCGGGTAGGTCGACAAGGGTCGGAGCCATGGAGACCAGACCAGTTTGCAGAGTTTGGTAGACGGCATTTTGGGCCTTCTGTGTCTGGTCGGCCTGGGTCGCCGGCACAAGTTGTCTGGACGGTGTATGTCGGCCGAGGGTGAAAGTTGCCGATCCGGCCTCCGGTATCCAGGGGCACCTGGAAACAGAATGTTCTGGCTCCGGGGGCGGATGCGAGAGTCGTTCCAGTTTGTCCGTCTTGCCAACACTGCTCAGTGTTGTGTTGTCGGCCTGTTCGGCGGTGGTTGAGTCCGTCTCACCGCGAGGAGGAAGGACTACCAAATGTGACTCCATATTTCGACCGGTAGAGTACCACTTGGGCAAAAGTGAGGTGTAAATTGGGATCTGACTGTCGGAATCAGACACGATACCGGCAACGCGGGTCGGCACAATCCGGCCCGACATGAGACGAGTCTCAGCGCCAGTCGGGGGCAGCGTGTGCGCCTGATAGAGAGTAGGATCGACGGACAATCCGGACGAGCATACAGTCGCGTCGAGAGAGTGCGGGAGTCGAGACCAGCTGACGGCTGTCTTGGCAATCCTGGCCGCCTCAGGGCCGGTACGATGCAGAGTGGATGGCATCTTCTGGGCTGGTGGGAAATGTGCCAGAAGCCCGACAACTTTCACCATTCCAATTGGCTCGTTGAGATGAGTATCTGTTTCTTGCAAATTGAAATCATAGAAAGGAGAGAGTATTATTTTTTTGAAGAGTTTATCAAGGCGCTTTTAATCTTGACTGACTAATTATTCTCGGCGGATATGAAGTTGGTTAGTCTGAGTCGCTTAGGATTAGTTGGCAAGTG